CCCCATCTCTCTTAATATACGATCAGCGTGGAATACACCTTCGATTCATTGTAAGAACCGTAAAGCATACAAATGCTGCTTCATCTCTATATAGAAGTCGGGTACATGGCGCGGAAACTGGTGTTGATGGCGCGAAGTTCCTTCGTCGCGCTGAACATAGTGCAAGAAAGCATCATTTCAGAAAAGCAAGCAAAATCCGCCGAAGGTCCCACAACAGTGGCACGTATCGTAAGATGAGCAACCGAGAACTCTATCAAGTGCTCAGGTAATGCTAAGTTCTGTTGATATTTATATTCCTACGTCTTTAATAAAATTTCGGAGTAGTTGGGATGCTTAAAGCATTTGATGTCCCCAAACTTGGTTTAGCTATGGTAACCCTCCCTTCAAGAAGGAGGATGTACTGATTTCGTAGCTTAAAGACAGCGTCCGCGATCACCCAAGGTGCAAAAGTCGTAGAGTATAGCTGATGGCGGAAGCTTGGAGATCAGAGCGGATATCTTTTTCGCGAAGCCGTGACATTCAGTGCTCACATTATTTAGGTTATGGTACAACGGATGTCCGAAATATGCACAGTACCATTACGCTTCACAATATATTTATTCGAAGGCTGAGAAAGGAAAGAGAGTCCGTGAGTTGAAAAAAGAATCATCTATAGAAGTGCATTTTCATATTTCTTTAATAAATAAAAAAATTGCCTCTTTATTCAGCTGGACCGTACATAGCCAATCCGAATCCATACAATATCCCTACGGGAGCCAACCAACCTCCTCTGTCTGCAGCTGGTCGTCCTACGCGAGAACAAATCTATTCAGACAAGTAGCTAATCCTGTTTTCAAAAATACTTCCTTTTTCCGAGTGATTTTCCAAAAGTTCTTATATTGCAGTCCACAAAGTCTTCGTCCATTGGCTCGTTCATCCAGTACGCTGGCCATTCCTCCTCCATTACCGGACTCTGTCAGGAGAGATGCTGTTGAGGGAACTTCTCGCAAAGAAAGCACAAGAAAGACGTAAGCATCAAATGGGTAATTTCCATCTGAACCCGTAAAGCTCCTCCAAGGGAAGGGACCACAGCATGAGCATAGATCGATCTCCTCAAGGGCTCGTTCCACGCTGATCCTTCGGGCGGCCACAGAAAAACATTTTTCCTTCTGCATTTGATATTGGTCTTTACCCTTTACTACCTCAGAAAGGAAAGATCACCTAGGAGTGGTTTCGTCCCATCTCTCTTAATATACGATCAGCGTGGAATACACCTTTGATTCATTGTAAGAACCGTAAAGCATACAAATGCTGCTTCATCTCTATATAGAAGTCGGGTACATGGCGCGGAAACTGGTGTTGATGGCGCGAAGTTCCTTCGTCGCGCTGAACATAGTGCAAGAAAGCATCATTTCAGAAAAGCAAGCAAAATCCGCCGAAGGTCCCACAACAGTGGCACGTATCGTAAGATGAGCAACCGAGAACTCTATCAAGTGCTCAGGTAATGCTAAGTTTTGTTGATATTTATATTCCTACGTCTTTGATAAAATTTCGGAGTAGTTGGAATGCTTAAAGCATTTGATGTCCCCAAACTTGGTTTAGATATGGTAACCCTCCCTTCAAGAAGGGAGGATGTACTGATTTCGTAGCTTAAAGACAGCGTCCGCGATCACCCAAGGTGCAAAAGTCCTTTAGAGTACTAGATGGCGGAGCTTGACATCAGAGCGGATATCCCTTTTTCGCGGCTCAAAAGCGCTTGATGAAAGCACGACGACGGGCGCTGTCTTTAAAATACTAGCGGAAAGCGTACCGCTTGTGAAGGAACTGCCGCTCCGCCCACTGACTGCAGCAATGCTCATTCTTACTCGTTACCTGATTGCGCGGTTGTTATCTTACTGTTCTCTCCATTTCTAATGGTGAGAGTGATGTGATCAGGAGAAAAAGCTGGTAAAAGTAAGTGGGAACTCGTCTAACCACACCCTTTCCTCCATTTATGTTTTATATGGAGCACTTCCCGTGATTTTTTCAGCCTTTCTTCACTAGTGGGTCACTTGCTACCTACTTAGTACCATCTGAGCCGTATAGCTCACTTTTATTGCCGGCCCTGCCTTTGAACTTTTCGCACGATCAGTTCACGTTCAGCAGCAGCTTTACGTCACATGTATAGGTCTTTATTCGGTGCGGAGAGTGAGGTAGAGGTATGGGGTGTTAGGTGAAGCGCTATCTGACAGAATAGAGGCTAGGGCTAAAGGCTTTAAAGACACGTAGTACGCTCACACACATTGAGGGTGTATGTGACTAGCAGCCCCCAGCTGTCGAAGCATAGCGGTTTCCCCGTTCAAACATGCGCAGGAATGGAGATACAGGACCGTGAAACACGCTAGTTCGTCCATGCTCCGCCCAATGCCTTTTTGCGGCGCAGATTCCCGTCCTTCATAACATCCGTCGTAAGCGCGCGTGTCGCGTGCGGCTCCTTGGCACTTTGCCAAGTCCTTTAATTGCGCTCTCAAATACAAGTAAAACGCAATTTCCTGATGCGGATAACATTGGAGGTGCTGCAAAATAAGAACAGAAGATGATGACGAGGGCCAGAACTCAAGAGCAACTGTGCTGCTTCTGCAACATCCCTCGGAGGCCGCGCATTCCCACAAAACATGAAATAAAAACGGCATACTCGTTAGTTTAATACAAGCAAAACGCAATTTCCTGATGCGAATAAAATTTGAGGTGTTGCTCATGCTTCAAAATCCGAGATGAAGATGACACAGGCTAGAAATGAAGCACAACGATGTAAATGTAAACAAAACAAAAATGAAAAAATCAAGGAAAGGCAAATTAGATAAACTGGCCTGTAAATTTCTACGATCCGGCGCGAATCCGGCGCCAAAGCCATAGAAATACTTAGAACAAACGAGTGGGACGCTTGGGCTGATGGATACTGCAGATGCAGCCGAGTTCTCGTCATCATCTTCTGTTCTTATTTTGTAGCACCTCCAATGTTATCCGCATCAGGAAATTGCGTTTTACTTGTATTTGAGAGCGCAATTAAAGGACTTGGCAAAGTGCCAAGGAGCCGCACGCGCGCTTACGACGGATGTTATGAAGGACGGGAATCTGCGCCGCAAAAAGGTGTAAGGCGGAGCATGGAGGAATTAGCGTGTTTCACGGTCCTGTATCTCCATTCCTGGGCATGTTTGGGCGGGGGGACCACGACACATCGACAGCTGGGGGCTGATAGTCTCATACACCCTCAATGTGTTGAGCGTACCATGTGTCTTTAAATCAAGTCTCGGTTTCGATTCCAAGTAGGGTAAACATGCACTTCATAGCTTATCGACGGGCTCTAGATTGTGTGAGAGGACAAAAGTACGAACTTGTACAGCGATTCCTGCAAACGATAGTGCGCACGGGGGAGCGGCTTGGAGTGCAGGCAGATCAGATTTCGCAATGGCATCATTGGTGGAATGAGGGCACTCTGGCTCCGCTCCAATACGCGCCGCGTCACACGGCCTATCAAGTTTTGCAAAGATGAAGACTGTACAACGGTTGACCTCCATATCTGGCTGTTTGAGGGGCTCTGAAGGCAAGATTTGCCTTCAAAGCCCCTCCACCTCTCCGATTCTGCAATCGGATGTGTAGCGCCTCTATCCTCTCTATATATAAAGCAGAAGTTGTGTGTTTGTATGCTTGCGTGTTCACCCGAAAATTGGGGACTGTGTGGAAAATCACTTTTGGCGAACGGATCAAGCTTGGGATGGTTGTGGCATGGGACAACATTTACAGAACACCTACAAGGTAACCTAGGCTCCGCCCACAATGGGCGGGGCATCGGGGGAAGTGAACGGTGCCATGGATAAAAATTTTTAAAACGTATCCTGAGCAACCCGAAGGATGGTAATGTGCTTGAAGGGCGACAGCGGGAAGCCAGATGAAGTAACGGAGAGACACCTCAGCAAATAAGGGGCAAAAGTTATATTTTTGTCTCAAGACAAATGAGAATAGTAGTGAACATGAGGTCGAAATCGAAAATTTATAACTTATTTGTATTTATTTATTTGTTTATTTACTTATTTACCTGTTATTTATTCTACAACAATCCAAATACCCCATACTACCACTTCAGTTTTCCACTGAGCATCCAGTTCCCACTTCTCACTCCTTGACTTTACGAAAATTTTACAACCGTCCACTAGGGGGGGTATATACCAAATGTGAAACGGTAATGTTCTGGAATTGCAGAAAAAAAATTTTTTTCTGTGGCTAAGGTTGGAAGGCTGCCGAAGGCGGGCGATCCGACTGGGCCTCAGTAGGAATGCCAGGGACCCACTTCACACGCGGAAGGAGGATCGCCCGCCTTTCACGGGCGATCCGACTGGTTACAGGAAATGATCAATGCGGATTTCTTGACACGAGCAATGACGCTAGTCTACCCTGTGTTTACAGAACTTATAGTTTCTAAAATATCGTCCTCCCTTAACCCATTTTCTGAGGTAGTCCATTCACTCAAATGTTGCATTACTCTTGACGAGACTTGACTGCGCTTGGCGAATCCTAGGAGAACACTCAATACCGAGCCGCTAATCATTTATATTCCCTTGATTAAGTGTTTCCTTCAGAGCTATCAACGGGCTAACTACCAACCCTGTAAGTATCACTAGTGATCCAGCCTCACTCAAAGGAGGATACCAAAGCCGAAACGATGACCCTCAGCAGAGAAGACCACGGTGAATACCTAGAATATTTTTCATTACAATTGGTGAACCGGTAACGTGACTGTTCTCATTCAGCGCTCAGCAAGCTGGTACCTTTCCTGTTGTGCCGACAGATGCAGAAATTGATGGAGACAGCACATTCAAGGTGGTGTATACTCCATTCTTAAAAATTTATATTAGTCGATTCACGAATAATTCCACATTATCTAGCGCTTTGATGGATTGACGGACAGCGCTGGCATACTGCACAAGCCAAGAAGTCGCAGTCCTTACAGCAAACCCGGTAGGTTATTGTAACATTAGAAGGTGGTAGATCTTCATGACATATTTTTCAAATTGGTCTATCATAAATGAATATTAAGGATTATGGGAACCTAATCCTGACGATCCACATAATCGAGATCATGCGAACAAGTATTTCTTCGCTCCACGTTCTGTGGGAGTTGATTGGCTCAATGGACAGGTAGCCAAGATATTAGATTGTATTATGAAACGGTCAGGACTCTCGATAGGTCTGGCCACCGTGGGTGCGGTAAATTGCGCAATGCAATTGTGATAACATTCAAATGATTACAAAAACCTTCGCGGGAAAGCGTCAAATGCCTTGATAAATCATTTATGATTCTTCATTCCTATTGGCAATCTTTTCGGTAATGATCGCTGTGCGAGTGAGCCCCATGGTGCCCTTATGGTCCTGGACAGAAGTCCTGACCTAAACCAGATTGGTAGTGCACATGTGAAATGAACATGTATTTTTAAGGTCGCATGGGGTGGTCATTGGGCAGTTCCAGCGGCTGGAGTGGGTGGTACTGATGGATACAGTACGGTTCATTTCCCCACTATCGGCACTTTCCTCAACATTCCCGATGACTACGACTAATATCACAACAATTCTCTCTTCGAATTTTCTCCACAGTGCTGTCTTTGTCTAGTCTCTTTAAACTTGTCATGATTAATGCCTTATTCTATGCATTGAATACTTTTTGAATTGCTTAGCACCAGTAATACATTTATTATCGCCAATATGTGTTCCTAGAAGAAAAAAGATGGAAAAAGCTAATTTATTATTTCAAAATAAATAATTTTCTAGTACGTTGAATGACTTTGATTGGATTTCCCTATCTTAAGATTGCTGTATCGGTCAGAAAAGATTTCACTTGCAAAAGGAGGACTGGTAGAGCAATCGACCTCGATCGAGTTTTTTGAGCTGCACCTAGTGTCCTACTTCCACCCCGTATCGTGGCGGCATTTGGGTAGGTGATCGCTCTATTCACTGACGAAACTTTCGAGAACTGTCGCTCTTCTTATTGGTACAATACCCACCCTAAGCCTTCGAAAAAAGACGAAAAAGACGCGGATCCGCGTCTTTTTCGTCTTTTCGCTATAACTCAGTTCGGGTTAACATTTCTTAGATAGAAAGTTGTACCGTTAGACTCAGCTCGTTTAGCTCTACAAGATGATCCCTTGAAAGTTCGAAAATGTCCAAATTTGAACTATGCCTTCCATCAAAGTACCTACGGGCACTCATTAGCGGGCGAGTCTCGCTATAATTGTAACCAAAGGGCTAACTTTACAATTGCTATTTGTTAGTGTACAGACGCATTCAACTTGATTGTAAAACCTTCGCGGTCATGGTTCCGGGTACTGGAAGGGTTTCGCCGACGTTCGACCGAAGCTCCTCCGGTAATTACTGTGGGGTCCGCTAGGGCTGGCGGTCAGCGCCTCCCAAACGCTGGCAGGAGTCCCAGCTGGAGTAGCAGTGGATATCAATGGCGGAGAATGTAGAAATCCATAGATCAAAGAACTCAAAGGAGTTCGTATACAAAAACATCCCATTAATGGTGTGCCAGGGGCATGACATTTTTTCCACCAGAGTTGACCAGCTGTCACAATTTCAGTCATGCATAAAGACTCCATAGGCATTCAATGACGCCGACAATCCACGCTGAAGATTCTTGAGCACATCGAGTCATTGTAAAGCTTAGGAGAAATCGCGAATTAACTGCTTCTACGTACAGGGATTCGAATGGGGAGAGCAAAGTTTTTGAATTTTCGATGAATGTTGAAATTAAAAATAAAAAAGCTCGCTCTATGCATTTGTGGACCATCTATAAAGTAGTGAACAAAAGAAATTACTATATTGAATGGCAAAACTAAGAAAAGTGATCAATAGAGGCCTTGTCCACCTCGATGGGCTCGCTAATTATGAGGTCGATCGTCCAGAGAGCCGGAGAATAACGTGAGAGGTCACAGAAAATTTTAAGCAACTTTCTTCACATGATTAGACTGCATTTTTCATGGGGATTCGAACAGTATAACTTTGAATAGGGGTTCCCTCTTATGGAAAATTCGTGAAATTCCTTTTCAGTAAAGTTGACCGTAGATAACAACCAACATTCAGAAATTTGCTACTCTTTTTCATAAGTTTATTCAAGACCACAAGGTATTCTGTATGTAGCTCTTTTATGAACTTTCCTGTACAGTTAAGTGTATTTCCTACTGACCCCTGAATCCCTTGTGTGTATTGTTCGTAGCAAGTTTCTACGCATAACGGTTCCATGACACGTCATTTGATGACGTACCCGCATAACGTATCATTACATTTTTTCGAAAAATACGCTCTACATTCACCTCCGAGGATTCTGGTCCTGCCATACGTATGTGCAGTGAGCAGCTTCTCAGCTGTACAAGTATGTCTTCTTCGTTACTGAAGAATGAACGGAATCAAGGCTTGAAGCTAGTGGTAATTAGATGCAATTCAAAGCTCCGCGTCTCTTCCCTTGATTGGAGTGATGTTCCTGCGCGATAGAAACCTTGTCGTTCACGTTATTGTTTGCGGAACCTCAGCATCGTTGTAAATCCTGCACGCTTGAACGGCGATAGGAATCCCAGATGACATAATCACGCTTCAGCTACATTTCAGCGCCCCACTTCTACAGCTGCGGACCAGCACATCCTCCTCTGGCACAGATCCGTATTGTTTGTTTTGATATGTGATTGACGCGTCAAGAGGCGTCACTAATAATAAGACGTTGATGAAATCACCATTGATAATGTATTCTCAACCTTACTGGTTAAGAAATGTTATCAATGGTGACTTTAGCCTCCTAACCTTTATGGTGTCCTTCTACTGATCTCGGAATAACACTTAGCGGTCATTTTGTCAACACAGGGACAAAGGATTTGTGTCGCGCCACAGTAATCTGCAATGGAGTGGCAATGAGCCAAACCGGTCGTCGGACATAGATGCTATAGTGAGCTCTTCGTTGATCAAGAAGAATTTCCACATAGACATCAAAGTAGTTGATTAGGAGATAATGCTAGCTGAAGATGAGCACACGTCGAATGAAGTGTGCTGGAAAGGAAAACAGGCAAACCAACCTACGGTAGACTGCCGCTCAAAACTAACTCATAGAAGGAAATGACCTGGGATGTCCAAATGTGTTTGAAAAAAGGTTTAATTCTCCTCAGCATTTGATAGGTTCACTATGACGGTGACAGCCGGCCTATATTCAAGTTAATGTTTTGCTCATAAACGTGTTCAGTATCAATAGCTGAGCCTTTAGGGGTGCAGGGATAAGTTGACCTGTTATTGGTTCGATTCAATATGTTGTCAGTCTGAGAACGTGAGCCGTCCCACTTCAATCCACCCCTCTACTACCTAGTGTGATGCGAAATCCCCAAAAACAATACGAAAGTACTTCTATGTTTTTCTTCTTCGTGAAACTGTCTTTGAAATTCACATGGAAGAGAAATAACAGGTTTCTCTCATGTGGTGTCAATGGTGCTTTGCATTAGATAAATCATCGAAATGAAACGGGCTATCAAAAAAGTCGTTCGGAACGTCAAGCTGCAATTCTGCGTTCAACAACTCACCTAAGCTCTGTTTACTCGCGAAGTCTCGTACTCTCTGGTAGAAGAATCCATTTGGCTGACATTTCTTAAGAGTGCGGGACATAGTGGAACCCCGTACCACCCATCAAAATGTACGTGATCTTCCTCCTCGTTATAGTTGCTGCACATTGTAAAGGTGAGAAGAGTGTTCTGTCGAGCTCTCGTCAACGACATGATTCCGTTTTAGCCGAACCTGCTCCTGCTTCAGCCACAACTTCGTGTTCACGTGATCTCGATCAGCCTCATTGCAAGGTACGACCATTAGAACTTCCTGTTTTGAAAACACTATGATGCGATGTTCCCTTGATTTACAATTCAACGCTTGCACGCAAATTCCACCACATTAAAAACGGTAACTGTGATTTATTTCTCTTACCTTCTGCTTTCGTTTCGCGTTGGGCGGCCGCTTCAAGATATGTAAGAAATGGTCATGCTTTCTTTCACGATAGTTCCAGATCAACTGAGGACCCCTTGTCTGCTACTCACACAGGGTTTTTTCCGGTGTCTGGAGTACTCTTGACCTATTTTACAGATTCTTCGTCTGACTCCGTCCACCTCGGAGCAGGCCACAATGTTTGTGCCCCACAATCCTCACCGACGACCCTCTCCTGACCTTAATCCACTTTTTTTCCGGTCTTTTGAGGATCTGTGGGAACCGTCTTACAGGGACTTTGTCTGCTCCGGCCTCACTTCGGGCAGGCTCGCCACAATGTTTTTGCTCCTACAATCCTCACGACGCCTCTGCTGACCTTAATACCACTTCTTTATTTCCGGTTTTGGAGAGTGCTCTGGGAACGCTTCTTCAGGCAGACCTTTTTTGTCTGGCTCCGCCCACCTCGGAGCAGGCTCCGCCCACAATTTTTTGCCCTACAATCTTAACCGACGACCCTCTGCTGAACTTAATCCACTTTTTTTCCGGTATTTGGAGTGTTCTGGAACCGAGCTACAAACATTTAAAATGAATACCCTGCGATTTAGGGCAAGCCCCGCCCACTGTGGGCGGGTCTCAACACGCTTTGAGCGTGCCCTATATTCGCCAGATATTTAAACTGAGCTTTTTGCGACTTCCAAACACTCTCGCGAACCGGGTTACTGAATTTTGCGAGAAGCACCGCCCACCTTGAGTACGCCCCGCCCATTTAGGGTGTACCTGCCACAGTTAGTCTGGCGACTCCTTACTAACCTTATTCCCTTTTTCCCCCATCTTTAGGCTGCCCCGGAAGCGAATTATGAACATTTTTGTGCGGAACCCCAAACTTTCGGGAGTGCCCCGCCCACTGTGGGCGGAGCTTCCCTTAGGTCAAGTGTGCTTTTTATTTCTTTTTATTTCTTGTCCCACGCCCTACCCATCCCCACCTTGACCGGACCTCTCCAAGTCGTTCTTCAGGTCGAACCGAATTTCCGGACAGACAAACTTACAAACAAACAAACAAACTTACAAACAAACAAACAAACTTACAAACAAACAAACTAACAAACAAACAAACAGACAAAGCGAATTATATATATATATAGGGTGATTATATGGACGCTGGCGACTGCGCAAATCATGTGAACCACATAAACGTAGGGAGAATCACGGCCTTATCTGATTTCTTTTGTATCTGTTTATTTCCTAGAATTGCGTTTATGGAACCGCCAAACAATTGTGTGTTACTATTAAGAAAAACATCATTAGATTTTCAATCATTTATGAATGACGCTGTAGTAAATCATTTGCTCCAGTTGCAAAGCTATCGGCCCAAATGCACGTAAGTGAGCTGTTGAGTCATTCGCCGCGCAAGGCGCCGCGTGCCCCGGACGACTCTGTTGCACGTCTCCCGGGCACAGTGCTTCCAGCTACGTCCAAAATAAAACGTTCGCCCATACCTCCTTATCCTCGTGCTGAGAACTGGATTGGTTAAAGTCATTTTTCTGTCAGCTCAATTTACAACAGATAAGTTATTAATATCGCTTAAAAGAATTGTTAAGTTTTTGCGTTGATGCATTGCACCAGTAGAGTCGGACATATCGGGCCGCGAACAGGTCTTAGAGATATTCTATCAACTGGAAAGGGAACGATTTTTTATTTCAAACAAATCAATGAAGACTAGTCCATTCGATTGGATTTCGTAGCCGCGTGACGTGATGTGCACGATCGCAACTTCCAAAATCCTAGCTCCTGAATGTCCATCTTTGCCATCATCTTCGTGAATGGCTGAGTAGGGCGTTCTTGCGGAAGTGAAATGTTAAGAGGATATGAAACTCCCGTGGAAAAGATCTTTCTACTCATTTCTAGCTCAGGTACGCATCAAATCGTATTAACTCACTCTATCGGTTGGTGGTTAAAATCAAAAGTCTTGACTGTGAATAGAATGTATATATAGATCCAAGTAGAATATAAACTTGTGTCTTCTGGAATGGTTGAGAGCTTTTGCCCCTGAGAACATTGTAAGCCAAAACAACATCAGCTTGGATTCATCTGTGGTTAAAATTTGTAGAACCATTTTCTGTAGTCGCTTCCTTTAAGAGGTACAGGAAAGGGAGGTACAGGGCCCCATCAGCCACCGCATACAATCGCAACATTTCGTTTGATTGATTAACGATCTTTGTATAATGCCCTTTGCCCTTCACTCATAACTGTCACATCGATGTTCAGACCTCTAAACGGAATGCGCAGCGAGATGTTCTTTTGATTCGTCTGAAAAAGCTAAAATATGGCACTGAAGACGACGATGTAGGGCAAAGAGGTCTGTATTTACCGTAACCCATGCTATTTTTACACCAGTGATAATAGTATTTCACAGCTGAAGACGTACCCCTCATCAATCAGCAACCCGAACGGACAAGCGAAATCGGAGCAGTGAATGAAAGGTAAACTGGTTAACCCTTCGCAATGATGATTTTCAAAGAATTCTCTTGTAAAAGGGAATAGACGTTGTGGAATTGAATGGTGCTGGGACCTGCATTTCATATCAAATCCAAATCGCTTGACGTTGGTGAAAAATTTCTTGAGATGGCCAGCATGGACTTTTCTCTAAAAATCCGCATTGAATTTCGACGGGAAACTGTTGCATGGCGAAGAAGCATTCCAAGGAGAGAAGTCTCTTCTTAGGATCGCAAGTGTCAAAAACTATGAGAATAACTTTTAGAACGGTGGCCATGCAGTCTGCCCACCACTGCCAGTTATGGAAATGCAAATCAAGACCACTTAGCGAAAAAAGGGTGAAAGGTCAATGCATTATAAAGGCCAATGAGGGGTAGAGCGAACCGCTGTCAACCGTGGTATACCTTTTGTAACATCAAGTGACCTGTCAGGTCGCAGTTTTGTCGAACGGTGATCATGACCTACATAAAGGCGCAAAGACCAATAATGACAGCAAAACGCTAAAAATTATAACTTTCAAGATCTTGAACATCCAGAAGGCCTCCAAAATTCAAAGACCTGCCTTCATATGCAGGGTACAGCATCGTTGTGTGAAACACATAGGGGGGGTCGTACTTTTTCTCTGGGGGGGGTCGTATTTGGTCGTTGGGAGAGAGAGGGGTCGTATGTGCCTTTGAGAGAAATTTGTCGCGTTGGGAGAAAATTTTTCCCGGTTGTTGACTTTTCGCGTGATTTTTCCTGTTTCATGTGCATATACACCCCCCGACAGCAAAATTTTAGGGAAAAAGTAGGAAAATTTTCGGGAAATTCGGAAAAAGTGGTAGGAAGTTGGGGAAATTCTCTCCGTTTCACACTGGCTATATACCCTCCCCCCCTCCGCTAGATGGAAAATTTTCGGCTGAAAAAACTGGAAACTGTGGGAAATTTGTAGGTAGGTGTTGGGGAAGGGGAGGGTCGTACCGACTAAGACCCTTATTTGGGTGGGGGGGGGGTCGTACTGACACCCTCTCTTGGAAGGGGGGGGGGCGGGGGTTGTATCTACCGCACCACCTCACACATGCTGTACCCTGTTCATAGGTCCTCATGACACTGTACCTTATTAATTCCCAGAAGAGAAGCAGTTTTGATTTTTTTTCAACTTTTGCACTGCCACGTTTCACACGGTTAGTAAGGTTTGCTGGTTTCACTACTACACTGCACTTTGCGCTGACTTTACGAATTTCACTGGAAGTGCACAGTGCACTCAGATAGCTTTCTCTAGAAAGTAGACACTTAGACGGCCGGAAGTTCTGTTCTCTTGGTAGTTATAGAGATCTGACCACAAAGAAAATGTGAAAATGAAACCAGATGTTTGCCTTTTCTTCCCTTGCGGCGTAGATCGGATTTAGAGTGAAATTTCCAAAATGCCTCCTGATCCCCACACAGAAAGAAGAAAACGAATATCCAAAACGACTGTCTAGTAGCTGGTATCAGTTGCGCTTACGAGTTTAATCACTGCTTATTTGCATTTTTTAACAAGCGTTTCGACTCCTGCGTGACACCTGAGTCTTATTCAAGGCATACTTCCTTTTGCTGTAACACCATGCACTTCGCGAGTTTCGCGCTCGTTTTTGCGTCATCACTTTGATCATCATCACTTTTCGGCTCGCTTTGCAATTTTTCCGCTGCTCACCACTGTCCTTTTGAAAAAATTTGGTAAACGATTTTTTGGCTCATATATTTATCACTAAGGCGGAAGTGGTATGGTGACAGGTGGCACGCTTATCAACCGCGCGGTCCTTGGTTCGATTCCCGGCTCGACACCCGCGCAGGTCAACCAAGCGTTCTACCGTCTGGACGCATTAAATCAATGGGTACTAGATTCGCTTAGGAGGATAAGAATACTGACTCGTACATCGGCTGGCCCCGCAAATCATTGTAGCCACATCGCATTCAATCAGTCACTATGGTTTCAAACGGAAGACGTGTGGCGTATCCCACAGCAAGTGAGAAAGGTCTCTGGAACCCAGTAATCACAAATAAATTTTCATAAGGTGGAACCTTGGCGCGCCGTTGTTGTGGTAATCACAACGGGGGGGTCTATTCAACCGCGAGGGAGGAATTCGTAGGCGCACGGTCCCTGGGGAGTGCAGCGATACTCAGATCTTGTACAGCTTCAATGATGAAAGAGTGAAAGAGTACACTTCTCGTCCCTAAGACGGAGTAGGCGTGGCTTTGAGCATAGCACAGGACGGGCTACTCGTGGGATACTTCAATTTGAAACAACTGCCATCTTGTTCTGATGTAGACATGATTACGACTGTTCCAAAATGAAATATCTCACGAAAACCTGGCCGCCGCCATTTTAAAATAAGTACGCAGCCACGCCTACCCGATCTCAGGGATTTCGAATATATGTGAAGAACAATTGAAAAGACACCTGAAGATAGAAGCAACCTGCAATCTCATAAGTGGGGTACGGGCGATGACAGAAAGTACGTGAAGTACAAATATTCTTTACTGCAGTCACTGGAGCTGATGGTACCAGCAGTGCGCGCTCCGAAAAAGATAACTATGCAAACCACCAGTCAATCATTCGCTGCTTCTCTCACATCAGTGTTATCACAACAAATTTTTCATTGATGTCAAAAGTGAGAAGAGTAGAGTAGAGAGCACGAACGATCACAGCTAAGTCATATTGCAGGGCTGCTGATCGAAATCGTGTCTCACGAAGAGCGGACAGTTTGGTAATTCCTCCTCCTGTACCTGCGAACAAACTAGTGATTCCTCCTCCTCTACCAAAGTTGGTATTTTCAGTGATCATTCAATATTGAACTTAACGAGCTATGTAAAGTCAATGATTGTCCAGAAACTCAGTTGTTTATACATTATTGTCAATTAGTATCGATTTTTCCACCATCACCGTGCACTCTGTCCCTGATGATGTCTCACCGAATTTTCAGAACCGGCCCCAAGAGCATCCACCGACGAGGAAATGCCGTGGATCCAAAGAAAATACCATCTCAAAAAGATCAGAATCCACTTCACAAAACACGTCGAAAAGGCAGTAGATCCAAAATCGACAAAGAACTCTACCAAACTCTGAAGTGAGGCATTTTTCACTCAATAGCGCACATCCCTGTGTGTGTTGCAAAAAAAAGTTTCATAACGAATTAAAAACTGAACGCATGCTAAATAGTGACGCCTTCTGAGAGTCTTTACTGGTAAAGCATCCACTTCCGGTAAGAACAGGGAAGCATTCTCATGACTGAGTTGTTTTCCAGAGAAATCAACTCATTGACAGCTGATCCAGTGTCGCTATCAAAGGACGAATCCTTGCCAGGAAACTTTCTCTCCTCGCAACCTCGGTGCGTTTCCACTTTGCAAATAAACTACTACTCTCAAAAAGGGTCCAATTCAGAGCCTATCAGTCTCGCACAGCTGTGCCATCAAGGGGCAGGAGTGCGGGAGACGACCAGGTGTTTCAGGTAGGAAATGTAGTGCTGCCCCCACTCGGCCGACTTCAATGGAATAACATTGTTTACACTTTTCGCGCTACTTTCAGGAATTTTCTAGATTGACGGATCGATACGGTATATATCATCGGCCGAGAAGTCGTAGTCCGTTTGTGAGACCAGGTCAGCTTATAAATCGCAATACGTTTCAGACTCTATCTTACCTCGAACCTCTCTTGCAAACTGATTACTTTCCACGCTTGATGTCACCTCATCCGTGAGGAGAGTTGTTTGCACCAGTTTCTCCTGATTTCGTTCGCTAAAAAACCGCCGCCAGGGCTGACCAAGAAAATAAACCAACCTGCAGCAAGTGTAAAAAAACAGAACTGGCCACTCTCACCTAACACGCGTTCGAGGTCATCTCTTGAAGTGTATATTGAAAATCCGCTTAAAGAAAGCAGGCTTGCTTCTGCCTTATCAGCCATGGCTGCGAATCGTAAGCTGCTACCATATAAGGCAATAATAAAACGCAGACAAGCATAAGCCATTCCACAGACGAGCAGACATGATGTGGCGTTTCATTTCAACGCATGACTAAGTCTCACTGACCTTTTTGGAGGATGCTTAACTCCCACGACACACAGTGCTGTATTGAAAATTCATGGTGGAAAGCTCAAATTGTCCCAGTGATTTAGCCTACCACAGCATACTCATACCGGAGTGAAGCGGTTCAGCAACATAATCATGCCCCTGACCCTCACCAATTGCTCCTCAGCCAAAGAATACTGTGCAGTGTAGTTGCTATTTAAACCAGGTTCATGCATACAGATCAAGGGTGTTCGCAACTATCTTCATTTCGAATTCTCCAAAGCATAGCCAGGCTGATGGAACAACAGTTTACTGTTGACATAATTGGGTAGCATGCTCTTGTTCAGTAGAATAGGGTCACCAAGATGTGAAATTTTTGTTCTTGGAATTTTTCTGAAAATACAACATGCGGATATCTCTTTACTCCCGTCTTATATCTAGGATGTTGGAGGTTATTAAAGGTTTATGGGAGGCAAATCCGGACAATCCACACAACAGGGATCACGCAAATAAATGGTGGTATAATCCAACTTCCGTGGGTGCCGATTGGCTCAATGGTCAGGTTGGTACAGAGTAAACTACCGTAGCGTCACTGTGTTTGCACTGTAAGAGTTGCAGTTTCTCACTCTTTGTATGTTTCATACTTTAAAGATTGATGATTTCAGGTGACATGGGGCTCACATTGGGCGGTACCGGCAGCGCTTGTAGGAGGCACTGCTGGATACAGTGCAGTACGCTTCCCGTCCATCGGAACATTCCTCGGCATACCAGATGACTACGATGACTAACGAATCCCTCACTCAGATCATTTCACTATTATTCTCAGAGAACTTTATTTTTCGCCAAATTACTATTTATTACTGTGACAGTACTTTGTTCTTCGAACAATGACAAAGCGTTGTTGCGCTACAGAAATTTGTGGGTGCTATATATGTTTGAAGAATCCGTGAAGCCTACTTCAAATCGTGCCGTATTAAAGTGAACTAATTCGATAGCAAAAGCCAAGGTCAGAAGTAAACATGTCAAAAGCAGTCACGAAAGTATGGTATAAGCAATATCGACACTCGTTGCATGTAATGGATCCTCATTGCTACGCAACAAATGTTCAACTTAAATGGAAGTCTCAAGGTAAACGGAGGATCATCGAAGCTCCAAATTATATAGTGCAGTGAAAGTTTTGTGTTTCCAACAAATGTCGATTTTTCTCGGCGATTCTTGTTTTCCAAAGTAATTACTTCATGTAAATAATCATAAAATATGTTATTATGTAGAAAGCATCCTTCTCCTTTCTGCTGAAAGAATGTTGTATTCATAATTTGTTTGTTCTGGATCCTTCAGAACGATGATTAGTGGCAGAGCTACTGAACACACTAATGAACTGATCTCATGGTAGATTAGAGGGAAACTTGTTTTGCGGAGCAGAAGTAACCATGCTCTATACATACAAACAGCGCATAGCAGCGGTCTTGTAAAGCACCCTTCACTTGTCTAGTTTGGTGGTTTAGTGATCAGACACAATCAAGTGAATAAAAAATAGAAAAAAGAGGTTAGTGGTAATATTCCCTACTACTCCACGAAAAGAATCATCACGTGAAGCATGGGACATATTCGAAACTTTTGCAGAAAACGATGGCTCGCTTCACGTTCTCCTACCTCGAACAGGAATAGTCAAATTGTCTTCTAAATTGTGGAAGAAAGAGCGTTTCAGAAGCTAACCACAAGAGGTCTTGAAACTGATTTCGAGATTGGGGTGGCGTACGTGGAAGTGGTTGGTGGTCCTTGGTCCGATCGAGCTGAGTTGGCAGAGTAAACATGAGGTTTGCCTAACGAAATGTGACGAGTGCAGGAGTGAACTCCACCAACAAGGTCTACAGCAAAGTTTTGTTTGGTGCCTTCGTAGCTGTTGCCCAGGGTATGTTGGCCATCTATCAGCTCGTAGATGCGACCGTCTGCGAAATGCAAATCCAATGAGATACGGGCACTCGCCCTCGAAGGAACCTTTACAGTGAATGCGCGATCTTGAGACCCGTCAATTATTGTCTGACTTTGAAAGCTTCATACGAACTACTCATGATAACACGAGTCAAGAGATAGAATGAGTAAACTGTGTGCCGGAAAAAGGAGCAAAAATAATCTTGACAGGAACAACTGGTCTACGACACCTTTTCTCTAATGAATCATTGATTTGCAATTTGTCAACGAACGGCGTGAAAAAGGTCGCTCAATAAGACACTGTTTCGATTCACGGTTCTATCACCACTGCTGAGCTGCTGCTTAGCAAAATCGATTATTTCCTTACTTTCACGACTGTACTGCCAAAGTATTCAGCTAGGTGTGTAGTTCTAAGAATCAGCTGAGGGATCATCTTATCCCCCACACTTGCCAATCTGATGTTTACAACATTCGTCTTCATTGGGCTGGCAGCGTTTTGGGAAGGTGAGTGCGATTTCTATCTTGTTCATAATGACGATTTCACGTTTCAGTGGACTCTACGCCTGATTTTGTCTCCACAGCTTGCACAGGTCATCCATCTCAACAGGAATGCAAGGTGTGATTGTTACACTGTGTTTTGAAAGTTATCATGCGGCCTTTTTACAAAACATGGTTTTTTGACAAGCAGAAAACATCTCATCTCGAAGTTTGGTTTCTGGGTGACCTGCGTAGCACAGTTGTTCGCTTTGACTCTTTTTACAAATGATTATAACTACAAGCAACTTTAACCGCGTTTTTCGGTATTAGTGAATTTATTTGGCCAATAACATTTCGTACAGCCTTTGAGTGCATGAATAGTTGCTGTTGCCTAGGTGTGGGCTGAAAATACTTGCTGCTGCCTAAGTGGCTGTGAATGATCTGTCCAGCTCAACATCATCGCGATATGTTGGCATGAGAGACTTTAGTGAAACTCAGGGAGCAAACAAAAGTAAACAAGCAAATCGAATCAATAGTTGACCATAGAATTAGCGCTGCCTCCGTAAGTGCGCGAATGTGGACGGATTAAAGGGTATACCTTGTTTTTGATTTCATCGTCAGAAATACGCCTCAAAATCTCACTTCATATTACTTCCGAAGAACTGATGGTCTTTAGGAATATGGCTTAACAAGAACGGAACAAAGAGTTAAAATGATAAACGAGCTTGTCGCGCCTGAACCTAGCTCGAATGCATAAGGCACGATAATTCGCTACTTGCTCGAAAGTAGAGCAGTGGTGCTAAGTGTCGGGAAAACAAAAAAGCGAAGCTAAATTGCCGAAGACCTGCGAGAGAACCTTAGTTCCGCGCTAACTGGAAGTGCAATCCCGGAAAAGTCACCTGTTGGCCCTGTGTCAACAACCGCTTTGATAGATAAGGGTGCACATACAGTGCAGTGGGCGTCCTGGTCGGCATGTTGCAGCTTGATAGGGCTACAAGGGTACCTCCGTTGGGAAAGGCGATTTCTAGCACCTGCTCAGGTGCGTCGAATTCTGTTCTACTAGGTGTATTTATCCTGCACGCCTTGGGTGTGCATCACCTAGGTGGTATATCCATATTTCAATACCACACCTTGGGTAGTGACGTTGAAATATGAAAAGAAGATGTCAAGCGACTCGTCTATGGAGAAATAATGCAAAAGCGATGGAAGCGCCTCTAATTGGACCCTTCCTGCCACAAGCAGTTGTACGAATAAACGATGAAAAAGACCGTGTTTTGAGGAGAACTCAGCTAATCGCAAGGTTGCCCGGTAGCATCGTGTTTTGCAGGAGGTGGACAACGAAAGCGGGGTAGGCAGGAACAACAAACAAACAAGCATAGATAGGACAGAAACGGAAACAAACAGGAGATCAGTGACTATTGCGAATCCACTCGAAAAACTTACGTTTTTTGGAGCATCTTTGCGCCAGAACATTTTAATTATCATTTCCCGCTGAGAAAATGGTACACTGCTGACTATTGCGGACCATACTGCCCTTCCCACGCTATCTTTTCCATTTTGATAGATCCTCCGGAACATACCTGTAGAAGACAAACTATTCCCTACCCCTGAGGAGGACCTTTTCATGTGAGAAGTGAATGGGTCCATAGCCAGCACTGTGTCATTTTCTCTGCTCAAAAGCGCACTGGAACGGGGTTAGGGGAGGGGAGGCTAGGGAGCGATACATGCGCGATACCTCCCGACTTCACGTATTGCGGCAGTACAAACAGAATCGGGAATGGCACCCAAGTATCACTCTACCCTTCAATCCTTATCCTGTCCACTTTTGAGCGGAGAAAGTTGCACGTTCCTGCCGCTGCGGATCTTGAGCGGAGAAAGTTGCACGCTCCTGCCGCTGCGGATCCATTCACCTCGCACATGGCAAGGGCCAGAATTCAAGTGTAAACTTTGCCTCTCAACAATGGGCTTTTTCTGTCAAACAGTTTGGCTTTGCCGAGTAATATTCCCTGGTCCGTACTTTTCTTTCCGGTGTTCGACGACAAACTGGAGTACTACCGATGGCAGAAATGAGAAAACGGAAAGAAGAAAGTAGCGCGCAACACCAATCACATATATCCCCAAAACTCGAAATTTGAGCTTAGCAGCAAAGATTAATTCGTCAGTGGTGGT